GTGCAGCGCTCTCCAGGATTTTTTAACCGTATTGTTAATATGATCCGACCAACCTAAGTCGCTTCGCACGACCAAACCCAAATACTTACAGTTTTTTACAAGTGGTATAACGTTAGTTCCTAATTCATAACTGGAGCGTCAAGAAAACGTACTCAGATCTTCTCCCCCATACGTCACATATAGTTTTTACGTTTTTTGACTAAATAAATCTAAATCTATTTGCACCAGGGCGGCAAACCATTGCGCGACGGCCCTGAATATAGGAATAGGATGTATCAATTTTTTCGTTACCAGATCCAGACAATTGGGGGGGTTTCTGTCGAAAATTCGCAAATTTTTCGGCGCATTATTACAACACTTTATCTTCTCACTAAGTGCGATAAAGTAAAAACTTGTACATAAATATATCACAATTAAAGTTTAAAATTTGCATTTCAATTAGATTTAAGATTCATTTCTAGCATTGCTCACGCTGTATTAATATAAAAATTTCCTGATCACTTCAGGCTGCAACTAACGCCCGTCGAAGACGTGCCATTCGTTTCAGACACGGTGTAAGAATTTCTTATACTGCGGTTTCAGTTCACTGCAATATTTCTATAAAGGTGCGTATTGAAAATGCGCGAACGAGCGGTACTGAACGAAGTCTCGTTCGTTCAGCGGGCGATCGCGGTGTAGCAGCAAGGAGGGTAGAATTTACTTACCGTTTACACCGAGTGAGCTCGGTCTCCGAACATTTGTTCTACTTGCAATGTTATTCGCTCGCCGCGGCAGCCCGCCCAAGTGATGTTATTGTGTATCTGTAGTGTCACAGAGTAAGATATATTTTCTGACGGCGTGTGAGTGTCCTTGCAGTATGAACAAGTGACTGTATTTACTTTTCAGGGAGGAAAGGATAAACAAGCGATGGAATTTGGGGCTAATTCTTTTTGCGCGATTTCATAAAAACAAAAGCTTCCTGACCCCTAAATCGGATTCTATTACTGAGAACTTGATCATGAACTAAAAAATATAAATTCTATACTTTTATTGAATTTAATGATTTTAAATTGTAGTTCTTTATAAAGTTCTTACAAGAACAGAAAGAACTACAGATTCCTTGACTGTCCCTTATTGCTTTTTAGATCTGCCAAAACGTCACAATTTCACCAAAAATGTGAATTAACATTTAACAAAACATTCTAATTTACATAAAAACTATTATAAAGAGCAGAAATATCCGACAGTTAAAACGAATTAAAATTTACATATTCTCAACAAAACCGAATATAAAATACTTCAATACTCAAGCCACAGATTCATCAATATTATGAAAATATGTCTTAATAAAACTGAACTGTCTCTGGCGTTCACAACATTAACGTGTAACATCGAAACAAATTTTAAAAATATAATTAAAACACACACTTTTGTGTATTATATACTCTATCTTCTCTTTAAACTTATCATTCAAACTTTTCATACTTTTTCTATGCAAACTACATACTGCACAATTTCTTTACGCTCTCAAGACTTGAAATTAACACCATTCGCACGTAGAAATGAACCGCAGGTAGTTCGACCACGTCCCGAACCTCTGAGCTCCGAACGGTTACGGAACGAACATTCGCTCGCTTCCGCCAGCCACGGTATGTTATATATCTTACACCGAACGACACTATTTCCTCGAATGCTCTGTTTCCACAGCCCAAGCGAACGAACGTTTACGGCGTTTGTTCGGAAGCGTTCGCTCGCGCAGTGTAAACCCACCTTAAGGGAAATCAAGCGATGTTGCAGAAAAATAGTTAATTTTTTGGGACAGAAAAGACCCTGATAACGGAAAAATGGATTTATTTTCTTGCTCCTATATCTAGTCTAAAAATTCTCTTATTCCTTCTCGTGACAAGAGGGAAGAAATCAAACTCATCTTGCATCATGGTGTAAGAAATTCTCTTACACCATGGGCCATCCTAATTCGATGGTAGCCCTCATGCTGACACACAAGGCAAAGCTCCCGCCTTTCCTTCCCATTAATACTGATCACAAGGTTTTTAAGTTTACATCTCAAGAGTAATTTACATCAACGACCAAGCCTAAATAATGTAAATACTCCCTTGCAAATTTACAGAAGCCGTCTTGCTAACTTATTGTTTATATTTACATAACACATTTGGTTTCTTAAAACCATTATAGCAAATTATGTCTGCGTTAAATCTTTCATATTTCAAGAACAATCTAGGCAACAAGCTCAACAAAGGGCATTACTACTTTCTGCTGAGTTAAAATGGGCTGTGATGACCAAGATAGCAGGTAGGCCAGTTGCCTGAATTAAATAAGCTGATTAGTTCAAAACCAAATACAGGTAATTTAGCAAAATAAAATTTATCACAAAATCTGTTTGGCATTTACATACCTTCCTTACAATGGTAGTTGACAATCAACATAAGTTTTCAGTCTTGTCCCAACAAAGTTTGGAGAAATTTATTGTAAAAAGTAGCAACAGGCATTGGGAGACAAAAGGGGAAAATATACTTGGTGAAATTTCAGCATAGTTCAAAAACAAAGCTGAAGAACATTTAAGGATAAAGATTGTAAGTGGAAACAATGTGCCGAAGTACAAAATATTTACAGAAGTACATAGAAATTTGGGTTGTTCTTCACTATATGGAGAAAACTCAGAATTTCTTGAAAGACAAATATCAAGAAGTTTAATTTCAAAAGAAATTGTCTGGTTAATTGCATGAAAATCCTGATATGAACTTAACTCTTTCCCACTTTATTATACAAAATTCCACAATACACAATTCCAGATTACCGAAGATATATTCTACCACCTTCAAAATTTGACATAAAATCTTGCACAGTAAGTTTATTTTTGCATGAACTTGGGAATAAGGAAATTGATCACCTAACAAAGACATTTTTTTTAATTTATTTTTTTTATTAAGACTTTATAATTTTAGTTTCATAAATAGTTTGCTTTCATCCCTCTCCACATATTTTACATGATTATTTTACCTCTATAGACATCAGCCAAACATTTGCCACCTTTCCATTACTTTATATATGTATATATGTTCATATATAAAAATGTTTTGCCAAGCAAAATATGGGAAATTGAATTACTGTAAGTTCTAAGGAAAATACATTTCATTTCATTGTCGACTAGGTGGCAGCCCCAAGCAAAAGAGGCTTACAGAACCGTCAACGATTCAGACTTTGAAGTATATACAATTTTTTTTATGAGGTGCAACTAAACACCACAAATGTTGCTTAATATATAAACACTGAGCACATGCTCATGTTTAACCATAGATTGACATGGAATCAGGTTGCTGGGAAAAGGAACAGAGGAAATCAGCAGTACATTAAATCAGGATAGGTACCTGCCTACCTCGTCTCTTTCCCAGTAATTAAAAAAATAACACAAGAGGCTTTCCTTCACAAATAAAAGCGAGAAGAAATAGGCCACACATTATTAAACACTAGCAATAATAATAATTATAATAACAGAACATTTTATACATCTTAACTCTTATTTATATTCATTTCCATAAAAACAGACTCAATGTTGGGTTTATACCCAGTCTCAATGTACAAGCTCCAACTGTAAACTTCAACAGGAAACCATAACTTCTCTTGCCCAGGCTCTAATCCACACACACTCACACGTTATATATATACATATAAGCACATATGTCTCTTCCTCTCGATGAACAGTGCTCTCTTCCACCATCTTCTATTAATCACAATCATTCAAATTGTTAAAAGCACAGGGCACAGAAATAAATAACAAGAAAGAAGACAGGGAGAAAAGTGAAATATCACATGAAAACAGAAAAGAGCAAATCAATGAGTGGACAGGATAGAGAGAGAATAAACAGTTGATCCATGTAATATTAATAGTAATATACACAATTTCATTCTTACTTTCACCTTTGATTTATTCACTTTATTATGTATAGAGTATATATTGTTCAGAGAATCTCGTACGGAGAAGTCCTTATCACGTGATTTTCACAATGATTTTTGAAGCAACTTTCAGGAGCCACTATCTTGTTGGTTGCAGTGAACTCAAGATTCTTCACTTTCATCTTCGCCTTCTCTAAGAGCCGTGAAAAATGTTGTAAGAGATTTCAATGCAACTCCTTTGCCAACATGTGCCAAAGCTTCTTTACTGGACTCCCAAGTAGCAAATGATTCACTAGAAATGAAGTTGTTTTCCCAAAGCAGGTGGAATATGCTGCAGATAAGGCCTAGAAGAAAAAAATTACAATAGCACAGTTGGCACTTACTGTTATAGCCAGCGGACAGGTGAATGAAAAATCTGTACAATGATAGTAAAAGATTAATTGCAAGATCTCACCTTGTGGATGTTCAAGTCTATGAACAAATGCTTGGACTGCATATAAGCAATGCAATTCAAATTCTTCTTTGTTATCTATATACTTTTGGAAAAACTTACTGTGCTGGAGAAGTACATCATCTTTCAACTTTATCGAGTTTGCACCTGAAGTAAAAAAAAAATAGTGATAATGAAAAAACAAAATTGAGAAAGCTATAAATAAAAAAACCTTGTCCACTCCACTTACTTTGTGAAACTGCACTTTCACACAGAGCAGTCATCAAGGCACGAATGAACATGGGATCTGAAACACTCTCACCCACATTCATCTGTAAAAGAAAAAAAAAAAGAAAAATGTTTTGCATAAGATCAAACAAATTTTGAAACCTGAATGAATGATACAATTCCAAGTAATTACAGTTATTGGGTTTTAGACCAAGTAGAACTGGCCACAATTTTACAGAAAATTATGGTAGGAGAAAATAGTTATGAGATATTTAAATTCTTCAGATAATCAAGCTTCCCATAAAATGAGTTCATAAACAAGAGCAAAACAAAAATAGAAAGGATGACATTATAGAGATGATCACATAAATTCATTTTGCCTTCCCTTTATAACCAATTAATATTATCATCATGTAACAATTTAATATTTTAACTTTTGATGTTAGATCTGAATGTGTGTCTTATAACAGGTCAACTTTGAGAAATTCCTATTTATTTGTCGATTACTGGACAGGCCAAATCATAAATGAGAATTCTCTTACTCATGATTATTTTGGAGAGTTTTACTACATTGAAAGTCTGTGACCACATGTCAACCACTTCAAAAAGAATGTGAACCAGTGAAATAAGACATTTGTTTTCAGATCCAATACAGCAAAGACGAAGAAATGGAAGACACGATTGGCAATAATATACAGCCTACAGGAGCACAACACAATTTCATGTAAAGGATAATTAAAGTGATGTTTATTGTTTTCTTACAACAATTGCAATAGATCTGTATATATTAAAAAATAACTTTCTACATCCACTAAATTCCTACTTTCCCTCTGACTTAATAACTTATCCACAACATTGTTTCCATTTAAAATATTTGAGTTAGCAAGTGCTCTCGTGGCTCAGTCTTGTCTTTCACCACTGATGTTCCTGGTTCAATTCCCCTAGAATCCGCATAGAACCTCATGTGAAATTTGTTATGATAAAATGTGTGTGCCTACTTCACAGGGGAAAGTGACATCTGAAGCATCCTATCTTTATTCTTTCCCAATCTCTTTAATATAGTCTTATGTATCTGTCAGTATTTTCTCTTTAAATTATGCCCCAAAACTCAAAGCAATGTTCAAATTATTCCACAAAACTCAAGTTATTTACAATCCTACAAAATGAACTCCCAATCAACCAAGTGAAAAAGAGCAAGCAAGAGAGACGAGAGGGAAATATACACTTACACCTATCCAATCACAGATTTGATCAAAGGAATGAGCAGTGCCCTGCTCAGGCTTTAGGAACTGCACCAATTTCTTCTGCACTTCTTCCATTGACAAAGGAGAGACAGGTGTTACACATGCACCACCAGCTCCAATGGTGAACTCCAACTTCTGTACAGTAATAAATAAGGCTTGCTATGATACAGATCATACCCAAATTATACATTTAATTTTAACAATTTAATTAATTTTGTGCAATAAACAGTAACTATAGATTGAAACCAACTTATTTTCTTAAATTATTTAAAATGCAAATAAATTCATAAATTGAAATTCTGAATTTTTATCAAACTGCTTAGCAAATAGTGTACAAATTGAAGGAATTGTATTAAGGTACAAAATAATTACAAGTGAAAACAAAACTTACATGTTTTTTGACAAAACTGTCTACATTATCTGCAGAAACGAAGTCGGTCCATGACAATCCTGCAGCATCCCACCGTTCTCTAATCCAGGCAGGACCCTAAATTAAACCACTCTTTAGCATACCAACAACTATTTATTCAATATTACATTTAGTGTTAGAAAGAAATTTTCTTGAAATCTAGACCACACTTTCCAAGATCAGCAGAATCTCCAGTATCAAGGGGAGTGCACAGAATGTTAAGACCCCAAATAAATGAAATGAAAGTATTAGGTTAAGAAACAAAATTATAACATTCCAAATTCAGCAACTACACAACATGTGTGAGAATATTACTTACGCAACTACAAAAAACAAACAGCACTCTCAAACACCCACACAACCTCTGATCGACCATTGATATTTCTGAAGTCTGTTGGAGAATCTGGCCAATTTTTTATCACCCTTCAAGAATATTCTAAACAGGTTCTTGAAAAAGGTCATTTGGGGAGTCTTATGGCACTTCTAAAAGTATTCAATAGCTAATTTGAGTCAAAAATTGCTTTCCACCATCTGCTTCATCTTGTTACTGGGTATTGCGAAGCTGTTCTCCATCACATTCTTCTCTTTAACTTCACAGCATATCCCTTTTGTAGGATGCAGTAACAGAGGTAACAAGTAAGTTTAGCAAACCATTAGCAGTTTATGTTGTCCTAAACAAAACTGCACAATTTACAAATGCTATAATTGGAAAAAATTGGTGGTGGCATGTTTATTTAGCCCTAGGCCTTGCATTACCCAGACATTAACGTGAATATTATAAAGAATTGGATGCAATATATTATTTCGTTAATTTTTAGCTGGTTCTTTTGTTACTGGTTACTTGAACCCTTGCTTGATCAGGTGCACATATTTTGAGCAACTATAGCATGAGATACCGATCACAGTAGAATGACTAGTTCTACTGATTCACAGAATTATCATTTACTTGCTATGATGCCTTTGCCTGAGGTAGAGGTAGGCAGGTTGGATCATCACACTATAACCATTCCATGTACAGTTGTGTTGAAGTTTTGCCACTGTTTTTTTGAGAGGCTGCATGTTACTACATGCATTTCTTGTAGAAGTCAATAAGTTTGTGATAATTGCGAACTGACATATTGTGTTAGTTAATACTGACAACATATTGTGATTTAAATTAATTGCGACAGACTTTGCTCAATGCTTTTTTGCAAGTTTATAAGCAATAAATAAATAAAATAAAAATAAAAAAAAGAGAGAGAGAGAAAGAGAAACAAACCATTTAGTCTTAGGGATTCATCTACATCCAGAAAAGTACCTTTCTGGCAACTTTGTTGATAATTAAATCAACTTGGCATTGAAATGAAAAGCAAGAGTAATTTACACCAATATGGTGCTATCTTATTGTAGTTGTGTTTTTTTTTTAAAAAATATTTTGTGTAATATCTGTTCATTTACTCTAAGGCAATTTACTGAACTTCTGGCGTCTTTTGTGTTTAATTCTATCCATTGCCAACAAAAATCTTGTTTCATTACAGATAGTGCCTTCAGACTTCTTTATCCTTTCCCTTTAAAAGGACTAAAGCAGTGCAACATATCAAATTATAACAATTCAATTGATCTTAAGGTTAAGGAGTTATACTATTAACATATTTCTCAATTATTTCATTTGATCATATCCATTAAAGCTATTCCAGATGCTGGAGACTATTGTCTCTCTGAATAATACTAGTAATAATAAAAAACATTTGCATTTAATATAGCTTATGAAAGTTGAAATTTTTGAATAACCTTCAATGAAGGGCATGTTTGCAATTTATATTTCCATGTATATAAGGTTTGGCACATTCATTCAGTTTATGCAGGAATTGTTTGAGTAGTTTTGTAGAACTAGTCAAAAATTTAATTTGACAAGGAACTTACCTTATCCTTCAGCAAGAGCTGCAATACTTCTGCCACAAGCTTTCCTACTCTCTTTGCTAGATTTCGAAATTCAGAGAATGTAATGATCTCCATAGACAGTGGAGGTACTGCAACAAAGAATTCATACATTTCCTTGCTATAAGTTACACATTTTCCTTCCACCACTAAGCCGTATAACAAATGTAGGAATTGAGGGGGGGGCTATCTAGCAAAAGTCCATTACTGTATACTACACCAAAATGAAAGTTCAGAACCTCACACAAGTTTTCTTTACACGTTTGAAAGGTCCATTACCACTAATTGCCTGAAATTTCCTTCCCATATATAAATACTAAGTCTTAATAAATTTTTATATGCATAACAATAACAAGCTATCTCTCCACATAATATAAATCAATGTCTACTTAGAAAAAATAAAATTATCTTCAACAAATTAATGAATTCAGAACACTCAGCCCTGTTGAGCAAAACCATCACTGCTTGTATGGATTTTAGTTCATCTCATCATTGTGCTCTGCATCACTGCATGGATTTATGTAGAATCATGGTGAAACAAATCACTCCACGATAAAAATGAATTTTCACTATGAAAAACAAAATATCGTATGAAAGTGTATGAATTCAGAACACTCAGCCCTGTTGAGCAAAACCATCACTGCATATATGGATTTTGGTTTATTTCGTCATTGTGCTCTACATAAGTACAAGGTATTTTTGTAGGATGTGGTGTTCAAGCACCTACAAGGGGATAAAATGTTTAGAATGCATGCAAAGAAGTACGCACCTATAATTTCAGCTAAATAAAGCCATATCTTTGGAATATCAATGGCCAAGTCGTCACCATCACTTATAATCTGAGAGAAGCTATAAAATACCAAAATTATTGTATATTACAAAATTATGTATATGCGAATAAAGAAAAGTGTATAATTTTATAAATACTCACCTGGTGAAGAGCATTTGTTTGGAGACCACACCAGCTTTCATTAAGTAACACATTAATTTACCTACATTCTGTCGTGCTAGTGAGGTCTTTTCTAATACTCCATTTATAGATTCCAAAACAAAAGCATTAACATTAGCCTCACCAAATATTTCTAGTACAGATGAACAAGTTTCCTGTAACAAATAAGAATGATTTACAATTCCCACGCATTAAATCAAAAGAAGTAATATTTTTGGGATAACACACAAATGCTAGTCCAGAAAACTTATTACCCCATGCAATACTAAGTATACAACAAAAATAAACTTATGACTAAGAGAACAACTTATTTGTAGATCAGGAAACAATCTTTTTAATTTATTTTTTCTTCTCACCTTTTCATTGAGGTTAGTAAGATACTCCTCCACAAGTACTAAAGTATGCTTCTTTACAGTGTCCTCTGACATAGGTGGAACATCAGAAGGAAAGACTGATGTATCAGGACTTGTGCCACGTAGTGAATCCTCATTAGCAGCACTAGGACCTAATCTCGCATTCAAACCAGTTCCACTGTGTACATCCTCTACATTACGAGGTGCATTGTCTCGGGAAGATGATCGCGATTGTTGTAAATGACTCTGAGGACGAAGATCTGCAAGAAAATATTCATATATTACGAATATTTGAAAGGTTCTGGCAGATTATGTTTAAACAAACTACAAAATCTATGCGTTGCAAATTATGAGTTTTCCCTTAACCTCACCTGTATTCATTAGAAATGAAACTATTCACTTACCTTCAGCAGTAGATTTAAAACCTGCAAGCATTCTCTCCTTTTCTGCAGATGCTGATGGAGCTATCTTGCCTCCCGGCCTGCCAACATCCAACATTTAAACAATGGTCCAATATAGATATGAAGCTCTTATAACATCTACATTAATTGGAAATAACTACAATAATGCTTCATTCCAGACAATGCAAATTTCTGTTATGTGGAAATGTAAATACAGAGGTAAAATAGAGTGGGGTAAATAGGAGAAATTATACTGCAATTTATGCAACACTTCCCCTTGCAGGTATCAGCTGTTGAATTTCATCCAATCGGGAGCTTGAATGTCACCATAGATGCATCACTATGGTGGCTTTCAAGCTTCCATTAATGGATGAGACCTGCCCGATGCAGAGATGAACAAACCACAGTATAGAAGGGGAAAAAAAAAACAGGATTAACAAATTTTGCAACATAGAAGATGCCATCTCACCTAGATGACAATCCAGAACCACGCTTCTCTTCACTTGGCATATCTGATAAGGCTGCAAATGAATTGTTGGAAATAACTGGGCTAGCATTCTTCTTACTGGTATCAGCAGCCTTAGAATTAGCAGTCCAGTTAGTATAAGTACTTCGGCACCCAAGGCTAAGCGTGTCAGATTCCATCTGTAATAGAAAGATAGAGACTCCATTTACTTTAACAAATAGCACACCAAAATAATCACAACCAATTCGTAAGAACAATTTTATGTAAACCTGAAAGTTCTTTACACTTTTTCACTAATGTACTGCAAAATCTTACTAGGGACCAAACCATTGAATTTTCATAGAGGGAGGAAAACCATGTTATTGAAAAAATGGTCAATCATCACTTTCTCACTACTTCAGAACATTATAATCACAACCAAGTTAATTTGCAAGTAAATATCACATTTACACATGATAAAACAAAAATTTTTCATCCACAACCTATCTAATGTAAAGAAAGGCATAGTAACACTGTAACAAAGATGTTTTTCCTGTTTCTGAGTTTACTCTCGTAACCGTGTAATCTTGAAATTTAACACTTATACAACACTTGCTGCACCAGAACACTATCAAACTTTATTTGTGCCAAGAGTGAGAGGTAAACTTTTAAACCAGTAATTTGAATGTAACAAAATTTGGACAGAACTTACAAATGCAGGAAAACATTCAAGAGTGTTGTATAGTGAATATTTAATGTTGAATGATTAATATATTGTATATATTAATCACCCACACCCCAGTGAATTGAAAGTTGTACAAAAATATGAAATACACTATCCCCCTCCTTAGATGACCATTTTATGATTGTATTGAGTATTTCAGATAAATCCAAAGACAGTATAAATTTCCTAAGAAACATGATTAATGAGTTCAACACATGACTTACAACTTTAGGTTTCAACCGTGTGGTGTCTACTGTATAGTTCTTTGCACGACCTGCCGTTGACCAGCCATCTTCATTTGGCCCTCCTGAAAAAAACAAAAACAAAAACAGGTCATAACAAAGCCTCTAATAACCTTGGACACACTTGTAATTAAATCTTAGTTAAAAATAATTTTAAACCTGTAATAATTCTTGGGATGGTCACTATATCACTAAACATTTGCACGTAGCAAGTTAATACAGTGCTGAACATACCAGGTCTAAATGACAAAGAGACTCCACAATTAATTAAAACAAAAAATAAGGGAAAATGATTATATTACAATATATATGTACCACGTATTGCGGCCATAAAACACTAAGAATTTGGGGCTACAATATTTCTTGGTTATTGTATGGAGGTAGACTTGACCATTCTGTAGATGAATTGAAATTAGATTTTATAAAATGTTAAAAACTAATTAGATTATAAGCTCTAATAATCCATATCCACTAGTAGAAGTCCATAAAAAATCTAACCTCAAATGTATGTTATACTTGTTAAAGCAAGCTATAAGACAATGAGATTGAGAGGAAGAGGAGAGCAGGAGAGAGGAGAGCAGAGGAGAGAGAACGAGAGAGAGAGAAGAGAGAGAAGAGAGAGAGAGAGAGAGAAGCAGAGTGAGAGAGAGAGAGAAAGAGGAGAAGAGTAGTGAGGGATGAGAGAAGAGAAGGAGTAGGAGAGAGAGAGAGAGAGAAGAGAGAGGAGAGAGAGAGAGAGAGTAAGAGAAGAGAGAAGAGACGGTTGAGAAAGAGGTAGAGAAGAGAGATGAGGAGAAAGAGGAATGAGAGAGAGAAAGGGAGGAGAGAGACGAGAGAGAAGTAGGGAAGAGAGCAGATAGAGAGAGAGAGGAGAGAGAGGTGAGAGGAGAAGAGTGAGAGAGAGAGGAGAAGAGGAGAGAGGAGAGAGGAGAGAGAGCGAGGAAGAGAGGAGAGAGAGAATAGTAGAGAGAGGAGAGAAGCAAGAGGGAGAGAAGTGAGCGGAGGTGAGAGAAGAGAGAGGAGGAGAGAGAATAGAGAGGAGAGAGAAGAGAGGAGAGAGAGAAGCGAAGGAAGCGAGGAGGAGTAGAGAGGAGGAGAGGTAAGGATTGGGTAAGGGAGAGAGGATGAGGATAGAATGAGGGAGGAAAGAGGTTAAGTAAGTCAGAAAGGGGGTAAAAAGTGGGCAAGTACGTAAGTTTTTAAAGGGAGGGGTGAAAGTTTAGGGACGCTTTAGGAATTTCTGAGAGAGAAGGAGGAGAAGAGAGAGAGGAGCGAGAGAGAAGATAGGAGAGAGAGAGAGAGAGAGAGAGGATGAGGATGAGATGAGGAGGAAGGAGAGAGAGGAGAGAGAGAGAAGAGAAGAGGAGAGAGAGAGAGAAAGGAGAGACGATGAGAGAGAGAGAGAGAGAGTGATAGAGAGGAGAGGGTGAGTATGAAGGAAGGAGGAGATGGTAGAGAGACAGAGGGAGAAGCGAGAAGAGAAGTGAAGAGAAAAGAAGGAGGAGAGAGAGAGAGGAGAAGAGAGGAGGAGAGAGGAAGAGGATGAGATGAGTGAGAGCAGAGGAAGAGGGAGAAGAGTATGGAGAAGAGAGGGAGAGGAGAGAGAGATAGGGAGAGAAGTAAGAGGAAGGGAACGAGAGAGAGGAGAGTAAGAGAGAGAGGTCAAGGAGATAGAAGAAAGGAGAGAAGAGAGAGAGAGGAGAGAGAGAGAGAGAGGAGGAGGATGGAGAGAGAGAGGAGAGAGAGGGTTAGAGATAGTAGAGGTTGTCTGGTACGATTTAGTGAGGAGAGATTTGTTACGATCAGCAAGGATGTAAGAGAGAGAGGATCGGAGCACATGAGGTGTGACAGCTAGGGATGAGTCGAGGGAGAGAGAAAGGTTCGGAGGATGCGAGCAAGATTCTCAGATGCAAGGGAAGAGAAAGGATAGGAGAACGAGATGGATGAAGAGAAGATGGAGAGAGAGACGAGGAGGAGTAGGAGGAGGAGAGAAGCAGAAAAGGATTGAGGAGAGATAGGAGAGTGGAGAGAAGAGAGAAGAAGAGAGAGGAGGAGAGAGAGAGAGAGAGAGAGAGAGAGTAGAGGAAGCAGAGAGAGAGAGAAAAGAGGAGGAGAGAGAAAGAGAGGAAGAGGAGAGAGGGAGGAAGAGAGAGAGAGAGAGGGAGATAGAGAGAGAAGAGAGAGAGGAAGAAGGAGAGAGAGAGAGGACGGAGAGAAGAGAGAGGAGAGGATGAGAGAGAAAGAGGAGAGAGGAGAGAGAGAGAAGAGGAGAGAGGAGGAGAGAGAGGAGAACGAGAAGAGAGAGAGAGAGAGAGAGAGAGAGAGGAAGAGAGAGAGAGAGAGAGAGAGGAGAGAGAAGAGAGAGAAGAGGAGAGAAGAGAGGAGAAGAGAGAGAGAGAGGAGAGGAAGAGAGAGAGACAGAGAGAAGAGAGGAGAGAGAGAGAGAGAGAAGAGGAGAGAGAGAGGAGAGAGAGAGAGGAGGAGAGAGAAAGAGAAGGAGAGGAAGAGGAGAAGGAAGGGAGAGATGAGAAGAGGAAATGAGAGAGAGAGAGAAGAGAGAGAAGAGAGAGAAGAGAGGAGAGAGAGAGAAGAGAGAGAGAGAGAGAGGAGCGAGAGAGGGAGAAGCAGGTAGGGAGAGTAGGAAGAGAGAGGAGAGAAGGAAGAGAGAGGAGAGAAAAAGAGGAGGAGGCAAGGCAGGCACACAAGGTGGCAGTATCCAGAATATACAGATTTTTGTGGGTTCCTGACACCAAAATTTCTATTTGTCAACCTGAAAAATGCAACTACACCACACAATTTCTACCAAACTTCATATTTTTCTTGACCAATCTAGCTAATGTCATGGTCCCCATGAATTTGCTTAATCTTCTGATTTTGGGAATAACTTTATATTAACTCACAACAATCAAAGAAATCACTCCTTATTAAATAAATAAAAAATAAATTTGAATAAATGTAAATGTGAAAGTTAATTTTTGTCGTGTTGGTACAACTTTGAAATTAGAGAATTATTTTTCCAATGAAGTTCCGCACAGTTCTTTAATGTTGTGTAGATTTTGTTGTTGAAAATCTTAGTTTTTGTGCAATTTTGAGGGATGGATAGTGCAAAAGGAACTGAATGACCTGATACTCCAAAAATTATGGGCAGTTTGTAATGGACACGTTTCATAAATTGCATTTTTGAGTATTAGTGCTTCATATTATTTCGAACAAACAAGATTTCAGCTTGCAGAAATCTTGCAACACTTTCATAAGCCTTAAGAGGATTATTTAACTTTACTTAATATTATTTAAGAACTGGTAAATTTTTAAATGAGAAATTTAATATAAAACATTTGCACTTCTATAATTTTTGAAATCCTATTTTAATACCCCTATTAAAAAACAAAACATTAATAATGCATCTTTGTTGAACATTATGCATTACCGCACACAAATATCAAAACAAAAACTATGTCAAAAGTATTTTCAAGAACTCCTGTGATAGATTTAGCATCTTTTAAATACCTTCTCACCAGATACCATGAGAGTTCCATACACAGATTATGAAAGCAATAGAAGTTCTTCACAAACTGTTTTTATCTCCTAGCAAAGAAAGTTCTTTCACTTCAGTATTACTCGTTCACTTTACATTTGCTGCCTGAGCACTGCAATCTCTCTCCCTCCAACTGAATGAGACTCATGTCTACTGATCGATTAAATATAATAGAAATGTCAGCGAGCTGGATACAGACCCCACTCATTGTGGGGAAACTGCAGTGCAGAAGTAGGCACAAACATTACTATTGCATAATGTGTGCAAAAGGTAAATATAAATATTTTCCATGCCTACAGCTTGTACTGTTGACGACTAGTGTTTAGTACTGCAGCTCTGCCTGTAGGTCTTTCTAATGGTATTACTAAACCTCCTTTTCTCTTTGACTTGAGGCAATAGTTCACTCCTCTATTTACAATTAATTCTCGCATAACTAGGTAGATTTTATTTTACTGCAGAGATCACACAGAAATGACAAACACAAGAGCACCTTTTCCCGGACAGTCAGTTTGTGTCAGCATTGGTCAAGTACTGTTAGACACCAGAAGTATTCATGCTTTCTCAAATCTATGTTCAAACACGCTTTCAGAACAGAAATTCCTAATTTATAATATGAGTAATACATGGCCATTTTACCCCGATTACAACAACAAGGGCATGAATGCTTTAAACCATGCAGTTGGGCCTAGCTATGTTCAAGTTCACCAATTTGTATGATTTCATAAAGTAATATAGCACCAAGAGTTCATGTTCATATTTCTTTGTGAATGAGCCACAATTTGTATATGAAAGGATACATTGCAATTACATTCAATATACAATTTATTATAATTACTAACTAAACTTGGCATTGTTTTCCCTCCTTTGTAAATGGGCGCTCTTTTACCAGAAATTAATTATCATTAAAAGGTTAGTTCTTGTGAACTTTACAGACCTAAAATGATAGACAGTTTATGAAATAGAGCAATTTATAATAGAGACACCACTGACTCCAGGTATCAAGAGTTATTTTAAAGTTTCAAGTAAGTCAAACAGTCAAATAAGTTGGGACAAATGCATTACATCTTTTGAAGACTTAATTTGTAGCTTCTGAATAATGCCAGAGCAAATTGTGTGCAGTAAGTAGGGGCTAATTTGAATAAAATGTCAATTTTTCCCTTTTCACTTTGGAACAATGCCATACAGTGTAGAAATGAAACTTATGTTATAAGAAAAGAAAAGTTTTAAAACCATTTTGCATATTTTTGATTGACATAAGTAATATTTCACCATTTTACATTATATTTAATGCATTTTTCACTGATTTCATAAATGTTAATTGTACTTCAAACAATAGTTAGGAGAAGCAAGACATGTTCACCACAGAATTCTGGAGTAGCTTATTTGATTTCTTCACTCGTGTTGTAAGAACAGCCATTATGAGTACTATGCAAGCTAAGGTTGCTGGGACTCCTATAATTACCAATACAGCCGATTTCGCAATAAATAAAAGGTAGAGATTTAGTTGTCAAGAACAGTCCAAACCAAAAGTCTGCAAGCTACGTTCACTTCAACAAAAGGAAGATGCCTCTTTTACATCAGTAATGCATCCAAAAGATTGTGGTGTTCATTTGAAGTGCATTATTGCCATTCTTAGGGTACAAAACAACAAAATTGAAAGACCTCCCAAGGTAAATATGCAAGTGACAAACCAAACAAATATTGTAAACGACATCTTCGAAACGGATAACACACATTAGAATACAGAAATTGTGTGCATATGGAAATTTAACACTTACGGTTCTTCTTTCTGTCACCACCACGGTCATCACTCTTGAATCTGGGTCCTGATGATGGACCTGAATTCATGGCCTGTTCCACTGCTTCCTTTTCAGCTTCTTTGTTTATTTGATCAATTGTCTTAGGATTCAAATCATCTCTCCTAGGCACCCACTTGTGTTGCCGTAATTCTATAACATCTTGCAACATAAACCTTACTCTACTTGAAATTTCTCCCCTCTTCTGAGACACCTGTTTCATTTTCTCGAAATATGGCCCAAGATCCTAAACAAAGAAAGAAATTTACTATCCAGGAACATTTAATTTCCATTGTTTATTAAACACTTAGTAGATTTATACCTGTTTCTTTGTTTCTAAATCCCTACCAATAGTGGTAAGTAATTTACATAAACATTCAAGAGACTCTTCATCTCCGTCACTCAACAACTGTCGTATACATCTATGCATAATATTTGTTGTGAGCATATGCAATTTAAATAGTTCACCAATAAACCTGCAAAAAATCAAACAACCTACATTAAGGAACTTGTAAGATGTCTAACACATTCTGAATGTCCTGATAAAAAGCAACCACCTATACAATCGCCTTGCAGTGAGAACTTTATGTTCAGTGTGTGAAAATACCTGAATTCTTTGAACTTAAGTTTAACTTTAATGAAGAATGTGTAGAATTGTTTGTTAAACTCAAGATATGATTACCTTAAAGTAGGTATGAATTACCAAAACTAATTACTAAGGTGTTCACGAGTAAAATAACAGTATCAATATATACCAAGTCTCAGAAAATTCGAATACTAATTTGACAAACCAAGTGACACACCTATTTGAAATAAAAATGTCAGTAACAAACAAAGCTTTTCTTGTACATACCTAATATTTCCCACAGATTTCATTCGCAATTTTCGACTTTCTTCTTCAAATTGTGCCTGCAACTCCTTTTTCTTTTCCTGCGAGAGATATTGAATAGTCAAGTTGTGCAAAATAAAAAGGGAAAACCATCTGGACCATTCATACACACAGAACTACGGTAACCACCCAGGATAAAAAAAAATTTCAATGAAAGACCAAACTGAACACCGCTAACTTCAAAATTAAGAAAAACACTCTAAAACACAATGCAGTACATACACTAAAATATTTATGAACAAGTTGTGAGTTAACGTACTGGGTCCTTTGTTTCTGCAATTTCTTTCAGTCTCTGCTCTTTATTTAATTCTGCTTCAGTATTTTTTTCAAATTCTTGCTGACATCTATTTACAATTAATTTACGGAAATTTACATATTCCACTTGCTGATTTTCTTCCTTATTAGATTCATCCTTGTCCGCTGGTACTTGTATATTTGATAGAACTTTACACATTAAAGCATAAGCCACAGAAAAACCTGGTTCATCTATAGCCTGAAACAGGGAAATTAGATCTTAAAATTGTTTATATTAAACAGTCCTTAGATGTTTAAAAATATTTGTAAAATTACCTTGTCGAAGACCAGGTTGATGACACCTTGGAGTTTATCTTTAGTATCAATAGGAAGAGTCCGAACCTGCTCCACCAGAGTATTGAATTTCTGAGGAGTCAGTTTGTTTAAAACACCACGAACTCTCTTGTATAAGTCCTGTAAAGCATAATTAAGGAAATAAAATGAAGCCCGAACAGCTGAATGAAAAAAGCACTTGCATTTCCTTTCATGATTATATTCATACCAATATGCCACAAAAAGGAATTCTAATGAAGGCTAGTCATTTCTTCGGTTTATGTTACAAGCTGAAGTGAATACAACTTAAATGTTAATGCTCTTGTATTCTTTGAATATACAATGCAGTCATTGGAATCACCTAGTATGATCCTGTTTGTTTACAGAACTTCAGTTTGAGGATATATTTTTGCTTTGGACCTTTAACTTTTGAATTTATTTTGTTTTCTCTTTTCTAATTTTTGGTTGGAATTCATAGTCAGGAAGAACATTTCATAATAGCTCCAAGAAAATTTTTTGTGCTGCTGCCAGGAAAATAGAATAGAAACTGGCACTCGCTAATGGAAGTAACCATCAAGTAGTTTTAAGAACTAGTCCTAGTGGCCTATTGTTTTTCTGTAATCAGATTGTCCAAATTTTCCCCAGTTTCCAGGGCATTTTTATTCCCCCACCCACAGAAGGTAGTAGTAACAAGATAAGCCCCACCAGTCATGAACATCTTGCTATTTACAAATGTTAAATCAATTTTCGGGAAAGTGTTGTGCTGAAACCATTGTTAAGCATCTTGTAACCTCGTAGGCCTTGTGCTCGATTATGAATTTTAGACAGCAATGATATATTTACTTCGGCGTTTACTAAGGGAACTATTTAAGATTTTCTGGCTTCAAAATTTTTTTACACGTTCGTTAAAATTCTTCCACAGCAAAATTTCCAAACCTTTTCTTGCCTTCCAGAAAGTGACCACCCAGCAGATGCAACTTTTATAAAGTACTATGCATTAATTAGATGCTTAAGCTATGCATTAATGCATGCTTGTTAATTAGAAGTACAAATTATGGAACTTTATCAACATAACATTTATTTTACACATCCTGAACACTATCACATCCTAGTGATAAAGAAATGTACTTTATGTAAGTACGTAATGTTAAGATATTAAAAATTTTGCGTAAGACAATGATGTCAGGATTTATTTAAAGAAAAAGAAAAGTGATTACTGCATCAAAGCCTTTGTAGAAAGCACCTTGAGGATTGTAGAGAGGTGACTGAACAGGAAGGTGATTTCTTTTATAAGTAAAAACTATTGATACAAATCAATAACCCATCCACACTTTTCCATACCTCAGTCTTGGCATCTTCTTCTGCAGTTTCAGATGGCTTCATTCGACCAGGTTTCCATGCATTCTCTGTCTCTCTCAATTTCACTTCTTCCTTCAATGACAGAGTAACATGAATAACTCCCTGTGGCTTGCCACTTTTGGCCTTGCCTTGCTGACTTCCTCGTTTGGGCGGCACCTACCATTATAAAACATGAACACGTTAAGTTCTTTTCTATTACCAGTCTTAACTAGTTTCAGTAATTTGTTTCTTCCAGAAAACAAAGAAATGAAGCACACCTACTGTAATAAACACTTACCCCGCCACGAGATGACTGTCCCTGACTACTCATGAATTTTGGAGTAAATGTGTCATGAGATCCTCTGGTAATGTCTAAAGAGCGTGCCGGCTAAAACACAAATGCTTAGTTAAAACAAAGTTATAATCTAATATATTATAATATAACATACAATATTATAGTAATATATAATTATAATTTTATTATACATACATATATGCATGCATACATAAATTATATAATGATTTTTTGGACTTACCCTTGGATCCTTTAATACAATTTCCAAATCAGGAAGAATGTTTGGCTTCATTTTTGATAAAGGCTCATTTTTCAAACTCATTAAGAAATCTCTTTCATACTTTTTCTTACCATCTTGGTTATTAGGGCTCCATTGATCTGCAAGACATTTTTCGTTACACAATTGTAAATAAATTTTAAGTTACTGAGAGCAAACAATTCTTTAGAATATTGGAAAATATTTACAAAACATTAAGCTCTTTAATAATTGCTAAACATGTAATTACCAGTTGAAGTATTAAACCACATTTACACTGTACAAAAAAGAAAGTGAGGAATTGGAAGGCCAATGTATTGCTTATATTCCATATTAACATTTGATATAGAATTTGCGTAAGCAACATTTTACATTCATCTTGAGAACATACCTTCTCTGTAATTAAATTTTGGAGCACTGGCTGTCTTTGCAGGAGCTGTTTGTTCAATAAGTGAGGGCTTTTCAGAATTTACTGCAGAAACTTTAACATTTTCTTCGTTGCGTGCTGCCACAATTTTCTCTTCTTCTTCCTTTGCAGTTTCATTTAGTTCCTCATTCTAAAATGAAGCAAAATTTGACATTAGAATTAGTGTGTAACCATCCTCACACATACCTTCTCTTACATGACAGTGTAAATTGTAAGCTCATTACATGCAAGTTACAAGAGACACTGCACTAAAGTGAACCATTTAACTAATTATGATTCAATGAAATAATTTACATCCTAAAAACTGGACCTGTATGCAAGTCATTTCTAATCTGAAAATTAATATAATAAAATAAAATGAATATTTAATAACAACTGGACATCATTAAAATGGATGTAGTCAAGTTAGATAAATCTAGAAAAATACAAATGAAAATATTTTTTAATGAACCAACGAACTATAGTTTGCAAATTGCCATTTTTTAAAAAATTTCTTTAGTTTTTACATAATGTCTTGAAAACATTTGCTATTTACAAGTTCTACTAGAGAGGCTGATTCCATATGGCGATGATTAATGATTATTTATTTATTTGTGAAGAGCAGTGGCAAATACTACTGTGTTAACCTCTACTATTCTGTAACACACACACACAATATTCCTAATGATTCATGAATGTAACATAACACACCTTCACTTCTATGTTGTCAGCCATCTTGTTAGTACTGGACAACACAGAATTGTTTGATATGGAAGAAGAGGCAGTGTTTGGAAGGCTACTGGCAGGAGAGACAACAGTTGGAAGTGTAGAAGGAGCAGAGGTTACTGAAATAGAGGGAGTTGAAGTTACCACTACTGAAGGAGTAGTTTGTTGAGATGTTACTGATGATGCAGTTGACACTGCTGCAGGTGGAGCAGAAGCCACAACAGATGCTGGGTCTATGGTTGGAGTCTGAATGGGACTAGGAGGCCGAGCAGAAACAGGTGTGGCAGCTGGTGCTGTAGAAACTGCTGCAGTCACTGGAGGGGACACTGGTGTAGTAGTGCTATCTGCAGTCACAGGAATGCTTGGAGCTGAAGGTTCAGCAAATGCATCCATTTCAGTGCCCTCCTTTTCAGCACCTTTGCGATTCAGTTCTTTCTTCTGCTGGCCTCTCTTATGCTTGCTTCGCTGTTGACTTGCTTTACCTGATGGCGTAAAAAGTGCATAATTTTATATAATGAACTGTAGTATATTCAACAAATTTTACTATACTAATCTAATTATCACACAACTTATATACATTCTATGCATACTATAGAGTTAAAAAAACAACCAAACAAAAACAACACCCACACACCATTCAAACCTAGCAATAACACACCTATGGTACTCAGACAAAATCTGACACTCAAAAACGCTTTTATTTTTCAAGAGTGTACGAGCTTGCTAAAAGCAAAATTTTATTTACAATAGCACAGAAAGTCTATTGAAGTGTCTCGCAATTAAAAACCCTCTTCCTTTCACAAAATGTAACTGTACGATGAAAACAATTATATTAAAAAAGCAACAACAACATTTGAACATATCAGGTTCTGCCCCAGGAGCGCATATAAAACCAACGAACTAAAGATGACAGAAAAATGAGTTGCGAAATATAACCTAGCATAAGATTTAATGAAGTTAGCTAATAAAAGGATACATCATGTTCCTGGGTTTTTACTCAAAAACCGACATTGCACGATTCTTTGAACATTAAACAAGTCTCTTACAGAAAAATTAGAAATTATGCTGGATGTCTTGAAATTACATCTAATTGAAACTTTTAAACTTTGTGTAATAAGTAGAAAGGAAGACTGTAAGAAATTTTAACCCTGAAAGTAATAACCCTGGCTAGGTCAATATTAATAATTTGACCTAAATTTAAGGTTATCTGCAATATGCAAACATTCCACATTGTCCTAATTTTCAGATTTCTTCCAGCTTAAATATCAGGAACACAGGGAAATGTCTCTACAGATTAAAATAGCAATTGGTCTGACTATGTCTAAATATAGCAGCTGGGAGCAGGGAAGAGCACACTGCTGCTTAGTTAGCTACGTAGGTATTGTCTTGTGCATGTCATTGACAAAATGTCATACCAACATACACGAAGAGTATTTTATTAAATACTGAAAATTTCGGAACACCATTTGCAGCAAGGTTCTATTGTATTTCTCTCTAGAAACCATTAACACATGGTCAAAGACAATCATGAAGTATCTAATTACATAATTGTAGATGTTTAATGTGTTCATCCCGGTATTAATGACATGCTCACACCATCGAATTATGAGGATCACAATTAATTAGGCGATACAGAGCCAAATGTATTCGAGCGCTTAGAAAGGCGACAAAACCAAAGAATAGATCTCATTTCGCATCGTCACCTCCATCTTCGGGCGGACGGCGGCCGCGGCTCCTAGCGCGTCCGCCACCACGACTCCCACGGCCGCCCCGGTTAAAAATATGCGAGCTTCCAGGCGCTATCGGCTGGGCCATGTTGCACACGGCCGGGATGGCTCCGGAAGCGGAGCTTGAGGCGATTACCCTCCACCACTGCCACTGCCCCGTGGCTGCGCAAGAAGCCCGACTGTCGAGGCGACGAATACGAGAACACGCAACAGGTGCACCCGCGCCACTAACACAGCATCTCCTAACAACCAGAAGCTACAGCTGTTTCCTCAAGCTCGGGCGGGGGTTTGAACGACACTCGGCTCGCGTCGACAGCACTCTCAAGCGTAGACGCGGCGGCGCAACGCGCTACTGTGCCAGCAGACATACGGAAATCTAAATTCAACTCGCCAAGCTTCTCCCGCATGCCGTGTAGGGGCGCAACGGTGGCAGTCGAAGACCTTTCGAGTCGGTGCGCCAGACCAACGCATGCGAACTAGCAAACGAGACTGGGAAGCAAGGTCAGAAACCTCACGACCTTGACACACTGGACACGCGGCCACCGGCGCCTGGGGCGCTCTCGCGGAACCCGTGCGCTGCGCCTCGGCGCACCGGCGCTCGAACTCCGACCGCCATGTGCCCGCGCCGCATCGCCGCTTAGACTTTCTAACGGGAAAGACGCGATCTTCTCGGTCTACAAAGATAGAGCTAGACACCAAGTAACATGCTTTCGATGTAAGCATGGATGCTTTCATAAACATGTATGACGGAATTTGATGCAATCACAATCTTTGCATAGAAATTTAGTCTCGTAGAATTAAGGTATGTCCATTTGTCAAAAATTTCCTGAAAAGGTCTTTTGAAAAGTAGCACATGTACATCTTCCTAAGAAACCAAAGTCCAATTCAAACAACCACCAATATCATTCGTCAATAAATCAAAAACTATTTCTAGGATTACCTTAAAAAGGTCCATTTGTAACGTCAATTTAGACAATTCAACGGACTGGTGTTTACCCCCTTCCAATTGCAAAATTCATAGTTTGTATTTCATCTAATGCGTTTCTTATTGCTCACCTCAAGAACTTTTTTAATTTAACAGTTCTATACGACTTCCTTACATTCAAATGAAAAATCTCTAGTATGAAATTGCTATATTTTGACGTCGCCTGAAACGATGTTACAATATGCACTTTTTGCATCCCATTTCCACAACTACACTATCTTCATTAGATTGAACTAAGAATTCTACTAATGATCCGGATAATTTAATAAATATCTTGTTATGGATTCATACATCTCTCTATCCACTACTAATCTACACGAGTACTACACAACAGCAATTTCCAATATGTTATGAACTTTTAAACACTTGCATAAATACCAAAGTAATAATTTTTTGTAAATGAAGTATTTAATTTTTGCAGAACGTTTTTGTGTTCGGCCGGAAACAAAACTTTATGAGACGATGGCAGTATTTTCCGAAATTAAATACATCAATTTACACGTATTGAAACAATATTATAAACAAATGTAACGGCACTTACGAAGCTCATTGCATAATTAACGCGCTAGGAAACAGCAGTATCGAAGAGCTCGATGGCTGCGCTTTATTTTACTGACTGAACTAGTTAAACATTTGAAAACAATTTACATAGAATATGCACATACATTTGCTATGCTCACAATATGCATCCCGTACATTAGTATAGTTTTCATGAAATTACCTGTAACAAGTTCTACAGAACAAACTTTTGTGCCACAAATGTTTGCCCCCTCCATATTGTGAGAAACACAAAGTAAGGGAACGCCTCATTGCGATATTTCTTTCCGCACGAAATAGGAACGTCTCGAGCACCAGCAACAAGAGACGTGGACATAAGTGCGTGAATATTTTCAAATATCAAGAAATTGATTAAAACTTTGGTCAAACCCCATTCGATGATATCCTTGGTCTCCAGGTATTCGAAACCAATTATATTAAACCCTTTCTATTAAGACCCTAAACGTATAAACAATGTTCACACTATTTAGAAAAACATATAAAATTCTCTTCAAATATCCATTTCTTCGAACTCCACAGAAGTAACCCTTGTATTATCAGAATTACGTAATGGATTAGTTATTATTACATTAAGTATGATTTTAGTGCTTCAACAGTTATTGAATAGGTGCTACTAGGGAATAAAGAAGCCCTCTGCCCATTCAATTTCACATGATCACCTGTGAAAGGTGATTTTGTTTACGAACTGTTCATTAGCAAATACGTCAAAGTTGCATCAAATGAGTTTAATCCCCTTCACCATATTCTTAGTTTCCGAGTATTATTTAACATTACGGATACCCATCCCACTTACCTGATAACAAAATTTGCTTTCCTTCTTTACGTACTAATAAGCGCCCTTTAAATGGACCGTTCGGCAACGTGTTCGGATCTGTCCACTAATTCATTCAGAGTAACCTTTTCTGCCTTTTTTCTCGGTCCAAATCTTATACGTAGAAACAGGGAGAGGGGTCCCCTTATCAACTTTAAAGTGGTATAGTTATTTCCAGATTTTTCATCATTAATAACAAGACGTATTAAGAAAATTACTTTTCCCCAATTCATACAGGTTTAACTATAACTCTACGAGAATCTAAAGCGTCTTGCTTGTTAATTAATTTGAACTTAGTCCAAAGAAATTGTTTGTAAACTGTTTAATTTTATAATACGCATAAGACAAACGGACTTCAATATCAACATTTGAAATTAACGTGACCCTTAGAACTTCTTGTTCGGGCCGGGCCGTTCGGACCGAACCCGGTTCGCAGAGCGTAGGTTGGTGAGCAGTATACTCAATCTAACATGCATGTAATTTGTATTGCCCATCGTCCCCCTTCCTACGTCCTTATTTGCAATTTGTTACCGTTTTACATTCGGCTACTTACATAAGTTCGTACACAGAAATACTCGTCAGAGACGACTCAGTTTACCCTCAGTAACAGTCATAATATCGAAACTTAACTATAAAATGTATACAAAATTTATTTTGGGGAGATGTGCACACTGCATATTCCCTAAAACATCTCTTACAACCTTCGACAAAAACAGTCCTTTTACCACAAACCCGCTAATTAGTATTCAACACTTTCTGTGAAATGGTTAGACATTTTAGGCAAATCATTCTATTTAAAATTTAATTGCATTTCTAATATACCTAAATGAAATATTCCCGTGAATGATTTATATATTTAAAAACTGTAGAAATTAATCACCGAGGATGTGTGAATACAATTCAGAAATGTGATGAATACAATTTCAACAGAACTTCTAGTACTAGTACGCGGTGTTGGTGAATCGCTGATTCATCATTTTACCGTAGCCATGCCTTATGTTTAAGTCTAACTGATTATTCCTACTTCGAACCTACGTACAAATAGAACGCAAGTAATCGTATAGGGGTAAAAATACCAACTTGTTAATACTATATGTTCCTGCTTTAACTGCTTGTTTGTTGTACACTAGTTAAGAATTAGCATCATTAAAATGCAATAATTACCGGAAAACCCTACCCACACATTCGAAGATTAATAAGGCCTGAACATCAAATGCCGCAGAGTTAAAGTTACCAAAATAACGTTCTTTTAAATTTGACGCAAGTAATTTATTAGGATATTTACTACCACAATATGAAAACTATTTTAAACCGCCCATTAAAAGAACAGGGTGGTTGCCTTCTACAGCTTTCCCTCGCATTCAAAACCCTAACCTCAAAACAAGTATCAACCTCCCTAAA